AAATTCAATTTTTTTTGATTTTTTCATGCGCAAAAAGTTGTAATTTATTATGTGATGTCCAGACTTTATACATGGATGGCACTTTCCAAAAATAGATTTTTTACTTAAATGTATACAATTTATGGGTGAAAAAATCAACAATGGCCTGGTGTGGCACAGTGGTTGGACTTACTCATTAATGTGTTTGAGTTCAAGTATCGGTCGGCTGCGGCGTCGTTAGCTCTCGGATGGGTGACCATCCGGGTTTTTAGTGACGAATCCATGGCGCACACACATACATACGCATGTTCCGACTCTATGAAACAAACCTTACAAACAAACAACCCTACACAAAAAAAACATACTGTTCCTATCCACAGCTAATGGCCTTAGTTGCCGAACTTAAAATAAGATCAATAAAAATAAAATATTAACACTATGTAACCATTTGTATTTTGTTTGCTGTCTGACAAAAAAACAGAGACTTACATTTATATGTTACATAAAATATCTGAATTGTGTTATTACATAGGTCGTATTTTTTTATCAAATAGTATAAATAGTAAATTTAAAAAAACTATATTAAATTTAGATAATGAAGTTAGGCTTGGGATGAATGTATTTGGTAGTTGATTTCACTTAATCCAAGCATCGACAAATTAAAACTCTAGATCTAGTTATTGAGTATAAAAATAAGTTTAGTATTAGTATGTATAATTGCGTCATACGTTTGGCTTATTATTTTTAAATTTCAGCGAAGTAATACTAAGTTTTTTTTATGAAAAATATGCCACAGTGTCATCTGATAATCGCGTTCTAGTGTATTCACATATTTATTGAATAGTTACATTTCAAGTACAAATACGTTCTCCCCTAAGTTATAGGTATAAGAAACTTTTTCATTAACGAGGACCACAAATGCATGTGAATCATTTCATTTAAATTTCAATCAATCGTTTCATAAAAACTTACCAATAATATCAACATGAGTTCAGAATTTGATAAATGAAATACAAACCTGTATAAGAATACACTCAAAAATACATTCATGGACATTTTACTGGGTTCAATTTTATCAACAAATCTGTTTTTCGTATAATAAATATTGTTTGTGTTAAAACTTATTTGAATGTTTGTACTTTTTACGTAATTTTAATTTTAAAATTTTAATGTATTATTTGGACAACAAATTTGTGATATTTTTAATCATTAATATTTATACTTATACTGTTTAGTTATACCTACTATTCGTTTATTTATTTGTATGTAATATTGTATACGTTGGAAAATACATTAGCTATGCAGTAAGATAAAAAAAATATAATAGTTTATGAATCATAAACTATGATTAATATCTGTGATTAAAGGTGAGACACATACATCGTAATTATTTCTATTGATAGATTGGGTTCTTAAAAAATATATTAATTTTTTTTTGGTGGAGTATAACTTAGGTATATATAGCAGAAAATGATCACGATGCTAATGGATAAAGATCATTTTGCCGAAAAACGGAAACCCCCGATTGCGTATTTTTAAATTTTTCTTGAAAAAAAAAAACTCCTGACACTATTTCATACCAAAAATTTAATTGTGTGAAAATCTGATTTAAAAAAATTGTTAGTTAATTGTCACTTATGAAACGAATACTATTTATAATAGGAAATACTTAGGTATTTGGTTATAATATTATATTTAGTAATTTTGCTCTTAGTTGTTTAGCCAAAAATGTAGTCAGTGATATTTTTTCGTATTTAATTAAAAATACTCCTGCCAATAATTATATATTAGACAATTTTGTATTCCTTATTATATAAAATAGGAAGAATCCTATATATTTGATACACAATCGTGCTGTGTTTTTTGCAGACCAAAAGTTCGCAATAATGTAAAATGAAAAGATTATAATAACATTTGTAATTTTGAATTACCTATTCAAAAAATGTATTTATTACTACATTTACTCATCTATTTCAATATGTATTTACAATTTACATGGTTAGCTATTGGTTACCTATTTTTTTTCTATAATTTAACTTGCAACTGTGCACGTGTATTGTGTGTATTGTGCAACATAATAACGTAATAACTAAAATACCTACTGATATGTATAAACATAATATTAGCTATGTATTCTATAATTTATAATTTGTCTATGATTATCAAACGTTGAACTAAAAATAAAGTTATTTTAATTATATGTACTGAAAATATACCTTTAACACTTAAAACAAAGAACAAATAATATATTTTAATTTTCTTAATTAACCACGAAAACAATATGTTTAATAAACTAAATTATATTTGATGTAATTTTTAAAATGAAAATTCTCAGTATATTATATTATTTAAAATAATGTTCAGGGATTGAATTTTTATGTAAATACGCAGACTACACATTAATTATAAAAAATTACTTAACTTAGTAGTTCTGTGTTCTCTTGGTTACTTTGATTTTTACTTAATAAATATTATTGAAGTATATTATTTCTCCAAACAAAGATAATATTTTTAGAGCTATTTAATGACATTAAAATAAAGTTAATTTCGTTGCACTGGTATAAAAACTACTTTATTATATATTTTGAGTGCTAAAACTTTTACATTACTACTTTTATTATAACACTATCTTCCAGAATCACTACCGTTGAATACTGTTTCTTAAGGTATGGAAAAAAAAATGATTTTCACAGTTTCTCAATTGTCGATTAATATATTACTCTAATAAGTTTATTTGTAATATTTAAAAAAGAACATAACTTTAAGATACCTAGAATGGTTATGACATCGATAAAATTAGTTTTACCATCAAAATACTGATTCTATAATATGGTTTTAAGAATCAAAAACATATCAATAAAAAAAAAACTATAATTGATGAAAGTAATATAACAATTTATTTATGTTAAAATTAAATATAAGTTGTACTATAGTCACATAAATAGTTGAAAATAGTAAAATATAAAAAGTTGTAAAGTAAAATTTCAGATTTGAGGATTAATAATAATAAATATTCTGGACATTATAAATATAATTTTTCAAGAAATACGAGTAGATACACCATTTTTTACACTCCAATATTTTTAAGACCCATCATTCAATAAGAAGTAATGATATAATAATTAATAATAACTGAGATTTTAAAATAATAATCATAAAAAAAAATGTAATCAACAGTATTATTTTAACATTTTTAAAATAATATTGTTTAGTAATTTTATTTGTTACCTAATTAAAACCTGATTCGAAATAACTGGAGATTTATTAATATGTATTATCTGTATTATAAATTAAAATTTTTTTACATCAATAGTCACTATAATATTATATAATACTATGCGTTGTACATATAAGTATAGTAAAACTGAATATATTTATATATTCTTAATTTAAATACTTATAATAAAATAAATATAAATATAATATACATAAGTCTATGTATATTATATTACGTATTGATATTAATTAAGACATACTGTGGTAAAAAATTTTTAAACATGCCAATAATAGGTGCTTATAATATAAGCGCGTGTAAGTATTGCAAATATTATAAGCACAGTCAGTGATTTAAAAGATTCAACAATATTTTTCACACGGTTTTAAACTTTCCCAGTTGATTTGTTTTAAACAATGTAATAATAGGGAGTTATAAATATTAAGTTGTTTTTTTTTTATAATGAGAATTATTTTTTTAATTTTTTACTCGTTGGTATTTAAAAAAATACCAAACCAATATAAACAGGTTTTTCTTCGTCAACAAAACCAACAAAAAAGACGTGAGAAATAAACAGGAAGCAATAGTTGCTGATAATATTGATTATATTATATTAAAAAAGTCTTAACGTTGAATACATTATCAACCTTGAAAATATAATATTATTAATAATATGGTTAACTAATGACTTTAATCAGAAACAGAGATTCGAATTTATACAACATTTATGATTTTCTACTGAGAGATGACTTTGATGTTACATTTTTTTGTGGTCATAGTTATGTTATATTTTTCATATTTTTGCTAACGTTAAAATAAATTGCAATGTATTTTAATTTTATCCTTTGGAGTCTAGACTAAATCAACGATCAATTTTATCGGAATAAAACCTGAAATTTATGAATTTTTTTTTGTCAATGTTTTCGTCATAGAGTTATAACATACTACTCCACAAATTATAAGTTAGATAATATGAAACTTGATAATAAATATACGCTTTACATTTATTTATTTCGAATGCCTGTTCACTATTTCGTTGTGAACTTTGATAATTTAATAAACTTTAGTTGAAAATAGTTGAAAAATTTAACTCTGATATTTAAAATAATTATTTTTCTTTTAAATATTAAATGGTTGTAAGAAATTGAACATGAAATGTTAAAAAAGAATAACAATTTAATATGCATTCCTAATAATTTTTTACTCTTGTCCCCAAATTACCGATTAGATTTAATTTCTACTAGAAAGTAGACATTTAAGTACTTTAACCATTTCAAAACGCGATGTCGGTTGATTAGAAAAAAACCGATAGAGGATAGATATTAGATGTTATGGTATAACAACAAATACCGAGTACACAAATGCATCAGTTCGTTCGATTGTGTAAACAAGACGGATTGCAAATAATTATTCACTCGGACATCATTGCAATATTATCTTATAATAAACCATCCGAAGATGGTATCCGTCCAATAAGCGCGAATGAGAGTTTCCGCCGAAGAGCCAACAACGGCCATCGACCGAATACGATGCCTAACTCCGTGGGCGTGCTTACACGTTGACCTTACAAACTGGTAAGTTTGTTCGGCGACCGATTTAGTCTACGACGACCGACCGTCCGTGTAGCGACGACTGCGCGCGATCGAATAATACGTAACTTAACCTAACCATATTATTATCATATTCTCATGTTATAACGAAGAAATAATAATAATAATAATAATAATAATAAATAACACAACACGTGTGGTCGGGTAACACAGGCTAACAACGTTGTCGTCGTCATCGTCATCATTAAAAAGTACGTATGCACAAAACATAGCGATTTGTTTAAATAATAGGCGTCTCGTCCGCGTAAAAATATAATAATAACAACAGCAGTACGATGGTAGGGGTTGCAGGCGGCGGCAAGTCCCTCGTCGGTGCGTCAACCGTCTGATGACTCGTATTATATTATGTTTCGTGTTTAGGAGTCGTGCCGACACACAAGCGCAGTCATATCTTACGCGGCAACGAGTCCGAAGCAAAAGTCAATACGATTGCGGGCGAGAGACCGACACAACGATAAAATAATAATATTATTTATCGACGGTTGAATATTTAACGATTTCGTCGTTTCGCGTCAACCTTACCTTTTACCCGTTTATAGGTAGAATATCGATTTTTATTGCGTTAATACCGCATCGCCATTATCGGGCGTGAGTACTCGTGTATAATAATACGTCTCGTGCGATAGTTGTACGCAGCCGCAGCTGATACGCGGGTGATGTAAATAAACGACACAGTAAATATTGTTGTTGTTGTTATTATTATTATTATTGTTGTTGTTGTTATTGAGTAAAAATAACTTAAATATTTCCAGCGTGCGTTTTTATTCGTACGCTTGTTTTTGTGTTTATTTATATTTTTTTTATCATCCAGACCGCGTTTTCGACAAATCGCCATTGCGTTTTTTTAGTCACAAGTGTCTTGAAACGGTCCCGCGACTGGTCGTCATGGCCCAGAGTTGAGATGCTTCGGGGGCCCAGGGTTTCGTGCTTTTGGAATCGCGTACGAATATAAAAAAAAATTATATACTATTATTATATATATATATAATATTTTTATTGCAAAAATATTAGCATTTTTTTTATTTATTTTTTTTTTGTTTAGTATTAAACGTATATATATTTGTGCTAAAAAACCGAGTAAAATGTTTAACTTCTTATTGACCTGTGACACGTACTCACTTGCGGTGACCGTGTTGTTGGTGATCGTGCTCCTGTATTGGGTGTTCGAAGTACACTATTTTGCCCGGACGTTGTGGTGCGCGACCATGTGCCGGATCCTTAAGAAGTACGTGCACATACTGGACACCACTTCTTATTCTTCAGCATGCCTGACCACGGACGTCGACTTCCTGCTGTTCCACATGAACAATTCGAGATATCTGCGGGAGGTGGATTTCGCCCGGACCGAATTCTACATGCGCACTGGGCTGTGGAAAGCGATCCGGGACAAGGGTGGGCTTCCTGTGCAGGGCGGAACAAGCATCCGGTATCGTAAGTTCATCCGGACGTTCAGTTTGTACAGCATATCGTCCCGGATCGTTTACTGGGACCAAGACTCGATTTATATGGAGCATAGGTTTGTGAGTCGAGGCGACAACTTCATCAACGCCATTGTTCATTGTCGACAGAGGGTGATTAATTGTGACGTTGAGATGCTGATGAGTGAACTACTGGCCAAGCACACCAAGGAGATGCCTGGCGTTCAGGAGGTGCCCCGGATGAAGCCCGAGTGCCCTTTGGAAGTCCACCACTGGATCCAATCGAACATTGTATCTAGTACTAATTTACGCAACGGAAATTGATAGAGATTGCGCTTCCCCGAAAACTTCCTTTCACACCACATCCAAGACCTTTCGAGTACTGTCATCGAGCCGACTCGCGGAGGTGAGTTCGTCAAGGCCTGCCGCCAGCATACGCTGGTTTAAGACTGTCCTGAGGTCAACGACAATGACTTAAAGGACAGTTTCAAGTTCCGATAACAACGATGCATCTCTTAAAACGTTCCTGTTTGGAATCCAGTAGGTTTACGTGGTTTTTTCGATTTTGTTTACTTGTTCATACCGGAGCGTTAAATTACGCGGTTTTAAAACCACGATGACAGAACTAATAATGATATTTAATCACATTTTAATAATTACATTTTTCGACTGAATTTTAACGTCACTTTATGCCGTTATGTGATCATTATTAACTTAGGTGTTATGTTTTGTGTAATTAATTTTAACAAATCGCATTTGTCTGTGCCTTTGATCAAAATATTGCTTAGTCGTGCTATACAATTTGTTATTATTTTGGGAATGATGAAAGCTTGGCATTTTATGTTAATTACATTAAATTATTGTAACTGTATACTATTATGATCAATGTAATTCTAGTCATTAGTTTTTTTCTACAATTTGTTTTATACATAATACTACTTTTGTAGCAATAAAATAAATTCGTTTATTAAAGTTAAGTCTATTAAATATATAATTAGGTTTCAATAATTATTATTTTAATATTATATTCGATAAGCCTTTTATATTATGAAAATATGAGTATTGATGTCCTTGACTTTTATACAAGTTATTAATTTAGAGTAGGTATAAGATAAGTTAATCACCGAACTTGATCGTTTTAAATATTGTGATATTGTATATTACATTTAATTTTTTATATATGTATTATTATTTTGAACTTTGTGTAAAAAAAAAAAAATGAGTTGTACGTGTCTACAATTGTTTTACTGAAGTGTAGACATGTTTGTTATTTATTGTTTGTTAGCAACGAATGAATTTAATAAGTGTAAACTATTATTATAGTATCGTAACTTGTGTTTTTTCACTGAAAATTAAGAATTTTTAGATCGTTCATTAGGTACTAAGTACTAAACAATGTTTAATAACAAAAATCATTCTCACCAATAGCTCATGTTACGAACGAACATGTACCTATTTTCATACTTCATTGTGGTGGATCTATAATCCACAAAAAATAGTATTATTTTTATATTATTATAAGATAATAACTATAATATTTTTTGGTCGTGATTCTTGATTATATAAATTCTGAACCAATAATATTCAAATAATATCAAGAAAAATAAATAAAAGTTGTGAGTATAATTTTATCACGGATAAATGATCCCCGCTGTTTTGGTAAAATGACAGAGGAAATTAATAGTTCAATGGTTGTGGTTCAGTGGATATTGTTTCGAATTATCAATTATATTTTTCAAAGACCGTTAATGTAACAGGCGTTGTTGATATTTTGATTTTTACACTTAACTGTGTATACCGTCGAATGAATAGTCTAACAGCATTTAAATCGAGGTGATTGCGAACAAAACATTTTTTAGAATAATAACGCTTTAAACATTCTGGAAAAAATAAAATCAGTATAACATTTTACAAATAAGTATCGTTGACTGGAATAACGGTAGGATTACGGTCTGTTGACGGTTGTCCTTTGTTTGAAACATGTAAACATTTTGTTGATTAAAATTTCGGCACATGTTTGTACTTTATGAATTATTACATAGTTTGGTAACCTCTAAGCGTTATAATAATACCATAATATTATTTATTACCGTTAAGTGTACTTTGAAAAGGCCATTCAGCGATTGTATGAACAAATATTTTATAAAAATTAAATTGTATAATGTTTAAACGTTATTAAAAATGTAACAGCTAGATAGTGTTTCGTATTTCATAATCATATGGTGAACATTCCGAGTATCTACAGAACGTATTATATTATATTACCGCAGTACACCATAAACAAAACCGGTTTAAACGTAAAATCACGTAACATAGATACCTACCTAGTTTTGCTTGGCCTATTGCTGCCACTCTTACTTTTAACAAAGCCGTAAGTCATTTGAGATGATAAACGGTTAATGGATACACAACATGCATAATACCCGTCTTACCGGAATGCCGACTATGTATATAATAATAATATGGTACGATATGTCGATATATGGTTATTTACTTTTGTGCAAAAGTCCGAAAACATTGTTAACGTCTTTAAAACAACGATAACGAAGGGTTATAATGTGTTATTAATGAGTTAGGTGTTCCAATGATAAAAGAGTAGGTGAATATGTGTTGTATCTCGACGAATAAATAGGCGTACACGAGTCGTGTCTCGGAGAAAAGTCAATTTAAAAAAAACCGTTTCATTTAAATTTTTACTTAATACGTAATAACTATTTTTTTTTTTTTTATATTTATATTTATATTACTCATAAGTATGACGAAATAAGAATCTTGTGTATAACTGTAAAATATATTTATATAATATTGTAATGGACAAATTTATCGTTATGAATTGATGAACAATTTTATTATGACTGTTGCTTAGTGTGCAATAATTTTTAATTACAATTTATATCAGTGAAAAACTGATAAATAATATGACGGAATAAAATTTATTATCTTGTAAAATATATGTACGAGTATAATACTTATATAGTATTGTGATGAACAAATTTCTCGATTTAAATTTATTGGCACGCAATTCTCATATAACTCATAAATAATTTACCGGACATAAGTTGTGTAACTTGGAAAAATCGAAGTACACATGACTTAATTGTAGCCTTAATAAAGATGCGGATCATTATAATAAGATGATTTGTGCCCGTGCGAATATCCTTTACAATAGGTACTTCTGCTTAATATTATAGGTTCTTAATGATAATATTTTAATATCGTAACATTATTTTTTTTTTAATATAATGAAATCGATGAATAACATTATTATTATAGATCAGGGCTTGCATTTGAAAAAAATATTTTGTTATACGTTATTTACAATTAAAACGTTAAACAAATTTTGCGTTTATCGTTATTCAGAATTAACATTTTTGGTATGTTTTATAATTTATAACTATTAAATGATTGGAAATTAATAATTACTTTTTGTGATATACTATATAATATAACGTTTTGTTTGATGATATATCATATAATATTTTGTTAATCGTTATGTTTTATTTCGTGTTATTTAATTATTTATGTATATCATTTTCAGTTATAATTACGTTTACAGATTTCAACCGTTTTTTGTCAAATATAACGTTATTATAACGCTTGTAAGCTCTGTTACAGACATTACATTTTGTTTTAATTGTAAATGGATTATTAAATAATGATACTTAAAATTGTTTATTATGTAATTATAAAAGGTACTATCTTTGGTGATCATGGTTCACAAACTATGTCATCAAATTATAATAGTAAAATAGAAAAAACAATTAAAATGTGGACATTATATTTTGAAAACTGTGTTTGGTGATAAAACATTTCTAATGGTTTTTTACTGGAATTTGGCCAAAAATGTAATTATACGTAAGTACTTAAATAAAATATCTAAAAAAAATATAAACGGAAAAAATAAAAACATATATTTTTAAAATTAATAAAACAAACTACTAGCTATTATAGTTATTTACATCATAATATTTAATATTTTTGTTTACTTTTTCGCTATGGATACTTTATTATTATATGTTACATTGTTATTAATTAGGGTTTTAATAAGAATCATTAATAATAAAAAAAAAAAAGAGATATGCTAGGTTAATCAATCATTATAATATTATTATCTTGATAAGTTGCGGAGGTTTGGTAAATACATCTCTAGATGCTGTAGTTGTAGAGTACAATTTTATTGTTTTACATGTACTAGTATCTATAGTTATGTATACAAACATACAAAATAATATTTAAAAATATAATATTCTATATATGAAAGTAAATTTTTTTTTTAGTTTCAATTTTCAGTTTTGTTATCAAATGTTAGTAATTACATCAACTATCAAACAACAAAAGTAAATTTTGTCTATTTATATAGATCAGTCGATTTTCTGGAACCATGGTTCCAATTTCAAAGAAAAAATGTTTACTTTGTAGTACCATGTATATGTGACCTTGCTAATTAATTGTATGTAAGATTCTTTAAATTCAAAAATAAAACGCTATTGGTATTTAAAAAAGATAGAGAAAAATTCACTTTGATTCTAATAATATTTTATTAAATTTTATTTCAATTACTTACGAGTATAATAGTTCAGAAAAATGTTTAATTTATTATCTACTGACAAGATATCACGAGCAGTGGCATATTTACAAACTTATTTATTTATTTTAGAAGGGGGGGGGTCGATAGGGGCAGATCCAAAAGTTTTCAATGAAAAAGGGAGGGTGCATAGATAGCAAAAAAGAAAAAAAAGGTCAAAATAATTGTAATAAGAAATTTTAAAGACTATACCCCTTATGATTCTGTCTGAGATCGTCTCTGTATTATATATATTTTTTTTGGATATTTTTTTTTTTAGGTTGGGGGGGGGGGGGGGGGTGAAAATCCGCTATACCATTCTGGTCACGAGTACATTGCAATAGAAATAAAATGTATGTAAGTTTCTTATATATTTAACCCTTTGGGAAATGTTGTATTAAGGTGGGAATTTTTTTGCCCAAAAATGACTTTCCGCTTTTCGCCTAAAATATACTTTAAAACTACTTTGCCCAAAATATTAAAGAACTTTTTGGCGACATTTTTATAATACACTCTTTGGGAAACACTTTATTATTGATCTGTGTTAATATTTTTAAAAGCTATTTTGCATTACTCAGAGAGTACCATAAGGAGGCGGCTTTTATTTCTCTCCAAAAATGTATTGTGTATTTGTCATTTATCACTATATAATATGTTAGGAATAAAAGAGAATGGATTTGTGTTAAGAATATTATAAATAAATAAAAAAAAAATATAAATTGTCAAAATATATTTATTAAATTTGTAATTTATTTATAAATAATTTAAAGCAAGTGTTAACTAAAGTAGGTACGTATTATAAAAATGAGATCAAAAAGTGCTATACTATTTTTGGGCGAAAAGGAAAATTAGTTTTACAATATTTGGGCAAAAAGAGATGTGGGTGAAAAGGCATTTTTAGACAAACGGGGGCTTGCTTGTCGTAGTTATCGTTTTTGGATAGTCGTCTATTCGTTTTCTATCAGATATAATGGAATATTTTTCATTTGTTGAAAGATGGATTAGGTATTTATATTCTTATAGTTATTTTATCATTCACGAAGTCTTGGATTGGTTGGATCTAACATCACAGTAAAATTATTCAGTAAAATACATTTTTATTACATTATTAAATTATTATTTTATTGTTTTATTTTTTAAATTTTTTATTATCTCATAATCGCACACAATTTATTTGTTGTTTGAAAATAAAAAAAAATTAAAAAAATCATGTATTCAATATTTATTAAGATATTGTCTGCCCGACTGTATATATTAACGCTATGATGTACACTAAAATTAAAAATACGTGAATTAAATTTCAAG